GGATTTTTCCATGTAAACCAGTATAATGCAACTTAATAGGGTTTTTTACATGTAAACCAGTATAATGCAAATTAATGGGGATTTTTCCATGTAAACCAGTATTATGCAACTTAATAGGGATTTTTCCATGTAAACCAGTATAATGCAACTTAATAGGTTTTTTTTCATGTAAACCAGTATAATGCAACTTAATAGGGTTTTTACATGTAAACCAGTATAATGGAACTTAATAGGGGTTTTTACATGTAAACAAGTATAATGGAACTTAATAGGGGTTTTTATAATGCAACTTAATAAGGATTTTTACATGTAAACCACTATAATGTAACCTAATAGGGGTTTTTACATGTAAACCAGTATAAAGCAACTTAATAGGGATTTGTACATGTAAACCAGTATAATGCAACCTAATAGGGATTTTTCCATGTAAACCAGTATAATGCAACTTAATAGAGATTTTTCCATGTAAACCAGTATAATGCAACTTAATAGGGATTTTTCCATGTAAACCAGTATAATGCAACCTAATAGGGATTTTTCCATGTAAACCAGTATAATGCAACCTAATAGGTTGCATTATACCACCAGACCAAGACCCAAACGAAGACTCAGACCACCACCAGATAATGACCACAGACCAGGTTTCCTTAGTTACAGGAACCAAATTGTTTCAGCGGTGAGGGGATTTTTCAGTTTCAAGGACACTTTCAATACATTCAGTAGTTTCAAGGATTTCAACTGTTTAAGAATTTAACCAGTTTCAAGGATATCAGGAGGTTCAAGGATTTCAGGAGTTTCCACACTTTCAACAGTTTCCAGGTTTAAAAAAGTTTCAAGGATTTCAGGAGTTTCAATGTTTCAACAGTTTCAAGGATTTCAGGAGTTTAAAGGTTTCAACAATTTCAAGGACTTCAGGAGTTTCAAATATCTATCAAGTATTTTAACAGTTTTAAGGCCTTTTAAAGGATTTAAAGGATTTTTTTTAGCAGATTTCCACATTAGATCTGTTCCGCAGTCAATCGCAATGGCTTCAGCCATTGCAAGTTTCTAGTTATTATTATCATCATTATCATTCCTCATAGAAGCGTCTCAAAATCCTTCTCCCTTCGCCTCCGCAGTGACGCACTCGACTTTTCCATGACGTTTAGGTTATCAATTTGTTTGCAGGCTCACTTCGGGGCCTGGCTAATGCTGTAATCTTTTCCGAGGCCAAAGCGACGTGGGCCCCTCTCGCCTGCAGCTCGCCCAAAGCCTTTAAATCTCATCTGTGGGAACTGCTCTGCATGCATTATGGCGGCAGCGGCATTATGGCGGTAGCGGCATTATGGCGGCAGCGGCATTAGCCAAACCCCGTGTGCCATTAATGTGATGGAGTGACAACAATATTGGCCGCGTGTCCAAATTGACGTGTGCGAGTGGAAAAACAACGATCCCATTTCTTTATAAAGGTGCATTTAGAGAACAGCTGACGTGGAGCGATTACGCCGCTGAAAAGTGCTTTGACGGGGAAATGGCGTCGTCTTGAGCGTGGCGTTATTGAGGCCCATAAAGAACGAGTTTCATAACATCCTCGAAGGTGACGAGCGCTTTGGCGTTTCACAGTCACGGAGGTTTGACAGGATTCACTGCAAAAGGTTTGAAATCGTTCTGACAGATTCTCCTTCGGGACAAAACCATTTAGTTTGTGTCAAGAACTGTTGCTTTATTTTCTCATTCAGAGGAGATATTTCTGTGTCTTTTCTAAACAAGATCATTGCAAAATACTGTTTTGAGGCAGTAAAAATATGCTCAGATTAAGAATCCTTTTGCAGTTCAATCCCTTTATTCTGTATTTTTCATCACTTTTTGCAGTGAAAGATAAATACATGTTTGTTTTTCCCTATTCATAAACACAATTTGAAACAATTACTCAATAAATCAATTGTAAATATGTTTCTATATAATACAGAGCATGCTTTTCTTACCCTTTTTTATTTATCCATCCATCCATTTTCTTCCCCTTAATCCATGTCTGGGTCAGGGGGGGCAGTCAGAGCACCAGCCCCTCACTGATCCTCCTGCTGCTGCTGAGTCCACAGGAGCTGAGATCTTTCAGTGGGGGCTTCAGGCAAAGTGGGGTTAAGTGTCTTGCCCAAGGACACAACGACAGCAGTCATCAGTGGGAGTCGTGAAACAGGTCTCATGGTGGACTCAAACCCACGACCTTCAGGCTCATAGACTAATCCAACTGAGCCACTGTCGCAGCCAGAGGCAAAACACATGTTGGCTCATTCGCACCTGTGAGAGTTGAACCAAAAACTAGATTAGATTATTTACTTTTTATGAAACTGGTGTCGAAAATAAGATATTCCTTTATTCGTCTCACAGTGTCATTGTTGCACAGTAGAGCAGAATAAAAGGAGGAAATTGGACTCACATCAAACAAGATCTATTATTTAAGAAAATAGATGATAAAATTAAAATAATAATTAATAATATGGTAAAATAGAAGAGAATCAAATCAAACTCGGGGCGACACACTGCAAAAAATGATGGAATTAAAGACAAAAAATACTAAAATGTTGCTGAATGTTTCTAAATTTGAGCACATTTTGACTGCCTTAAAACAAGATTTGCCAGTGGAACAAGAAAAAATATATTGTTTTAAAAAGATACAAGACATTTCTCTCTTGGAATGAGAAAATAAAGCAATAGTTCTTGAGTCAAGTCAAAATTGCTTGTCTCATTGGCAAATCTCGTTTTAAGACAGTCAGAAATAACTTAAATTAAGATAAAAACAACTCAATTCAAGCAATTATTATCTCATATTTGATCATTTTGGCTCAGTCGGTCGAGCATCGGCCTTTGAGCCTGGAGACTGTGGGTTTGATCCACCACGAGGCCTTCTCCACCGACTCCCACTGATGTCTGCTGTGGTGTCCATGGGCAAGACACTTAACCCACTTTGCCTGAAGCCCCTGCAGAAAAATCAAGGCTGTGTCTGGACTCACCTCCTGCTGAGCATCAGTGAGGGTCTGTAGTTACTCTGTGGACTGTGACTGCCAGCCCCACCCAAACATGGATTAAGGGGAAGAAGATGGATGGAGCTATAATGTCACTTGGTCCGAAGGTATTTACAGATGTGTATATTGAACTTTAGCAGCAGAAAGTAAACCAGAATAACCAATAGTAATATTAGCAGCAGATAAAGTACGCCCTGGATTCTAACACACTTCCTGTTTTGAGAAATGAATCGTCAAAATAGAAATCAGGACAAAGTGAGCATTGAACGGTCCGTGTACGTCGCGGCCATTCTATTTTTGATTAGGAAAGAAAATACAAAAAACGAATATTGGCCGTTTCCCGTTTTCCGTTTTCAAAATAAAATGTAGAAAACGAGAATTTAATCCGTTTTTCGATTTTGTGTTTTAAAATTAAAAAACGGATAACGAAAAACAGGTCATAATCCGTTTTTCCATTACACATTTACACAAGAAACACCAACATCGAAAAACCACGGCAAAAATTTGATTTTCCATTCTTGATCTTATTTTGAAGCTGACCCGGAATCTGTTAACCATGCCTACCACTATGCCAATTAAAGATTACAAGATATAGAATAATATTAATGTATATCAGCGGACACCATTAGCCTTTTTAGATGGCTAACCGTTCACTAGCATAAACACAGTAGGTTTTGCTATTTAAATTTATAAACTTACCTGGAAAATGGTGCCAATCTTATCCACTGTCATGTCGACATCTTTTAAAGTAACCCGTTTGCTGTCTCGATACAAAACAAAAGTTTTCTCCAACTCTGGTATCTCCATTATCATTCAAAAAACTGGAAAACTCTGACTGTGCGGGAAAGCCTCAACAGCTTCCGGGTCAGCTTCAAAATAAGATCAAGAATGGAAAATCAAATTTTTGCCGTGGTTTTTCGATGTTGGTGTTTCTTGTGTAAATGTGTAATGGAAAAACGGATTATGACCTGTTTTTCGTTATCCGTTTTTTAATTTTAAAACACAAAATCGAAAAACGGATTAAATTCTCGTTTTCTACATTTTATTTTGAAAACGGAAAACGGGAAACGGCCAATATTCGTTTTTTGTATTTTCTTTCCTAATCAAAAATAGAATGGCCGCGACGTACACGGACCATTGAACACACATGGTTCAGGTTCATATCAGCTCTCTCTGGTTTCTCCATCTTTAATGAACGCGAGAGGATTACTTTACTATATCTTGGCACGGTAGGTAAATGAAGCCTGTACCTATGGAATCAGCCGTGGATATAAAGTTGGCAGTAGCGCGTGTGGCCACCCCCGTAGCCGCAGCTGCCAGATCCTCTGTTTACATTGCCTGTGCATAATTATTTCTTGTTAAACAGGAATTGGTCGTCTTTGCAGCCGCCTCTGAACCGTGTCATGAGTAATGTGACATTTAAGCAGCCGCACAGATGTTCCCAAATAATCGAGAGACTAAATATCATGCTCTGGAATTAATTGTGCTGCTCATAACGAGGCAGATGAGAAGCGGAACATCCTGGAACCTGACAACAAGGTGTCTCTCTCCCGCCGCCAACCCACGGAGACCGAGACCGAGTTACAGCCGCCACAGATGCTCCGACGCTCAGACTCAGGGCCTACTTTTCAGCGCCAACAAATCAAAGGAACTTACATCTTTCTGATTTCTGATCTTGGGTGCGCTGCGTTTGAACTGATCTCAATAAATAAGATCAAATGTTTGCTCAGAAAGTGCAGACGGACCGAGCTGAACCGAGCTGAGCCGAGCTGAGAGCGGGAGGCCGTGTCCCAGAAACTTAATTAACATTCTACCTCTGAGCCAATTCACCTGCGGCGATTTACAATGGACTCAGTGAGCACAGGGACTGGACTCCTGCTGGGACTCTGAGGAGCACAGGGACTGGACTCCTGCTGGGACTCTGAGGAGCACAGGGACTGGACTCCTGCTGGGACTCTGAGGAGCACAGGGACTGGCCTCATATTCATAATGTGTGTATTATTGACTTTTGTGGGGGTTGTCTCCACCCTCACACTTGACTCCACCCTCACACTTGTCTCCACCCTCACACTTGACTCCCCCTTCACACTTGTCTCCACCCTCACACTTGACTCCACCCTCATACTTGACTCCCCCTTCACACTTGTCTCCACCCTCACACTTGACTCCACCCTCACACTTGTCTCCACCCTCACACTTGACTCCCCCTTCACACTTGTCTCCACCCTCACACTTGACTCCACCCTCACACTTGACTCCCCCTTCACACTTGACTCCCCCCTCACACTTGACTCCACCCTCACACTTGACTCCCCCTTCACACTTGACTCCCCCCTCACACTTGTCTCCACCCTCACACTTGTCTCCACCCTCACACTTGACTCCCCCTTCACACTTGTCTCCACCCTCACACTTGACTCCACCCTCATACTTGACTCCCCCTTCACACTTGTCTCCACCCTCACACTTGTCTCCACCCTCACACTTGTCTCCACCCTCACACTTGACTCCACCCTCACACTTGACTCCACCCTCACACTTGTCTCCACCCTCAAACTTGACTCCACCCTCACACTTGACTCAACCCTCACACTTGACTCCACCCTCACACTTGACTCCACCCTCACACTTGACTCCCCCTTCACACTTGTCTCCACCCTCACACTTGACTCCACCCTCACACTTGACTCCCCCTTCACACTTGTCTCCACCCTCACACTTGACTCCACCCTCTCCTCCCTCACACTTGACTCCTCCCTCACACTTGTCTCCACCCTCACACTTGACTCCACCCTCTCCTCCCTCACACTTGACTCCTCTCTCACACTTGACTCCACCCTCACCCACCTCCACCTGAGGGTGTCACCTCGAGGCTCCACCCTTTGGCCTGAACCATGGCAGGCCCAGACGAGGGGAGGTTTTGGAGGTCTCTTTGAGTTCATATCATTAATAAGTTCATATCATAAGTTTCCAACATTCTCATTATTGACCATTATTATTGCTCCATTTATTTACTTTTACCCTTAAGCTAGTTTAAGTAAATGTATGTATTGGTTTTGTGTAGTCTTGTTTACCCCCTTTGATTGACAGTTGGTCTGATCACCCAGCTTAGTGTGTGTCTTGTGGCTGGTTAGTTGTGCGTTTGATTATGGCCTCATTTATTTGTATTTGAAAAAATTTGGCTAATTAAAGACTGTTGAAAGTGTTTTTTGGAAAATGTGTGCCAAAATGTGTCAATCCTGAAATCCAAACGGCCCAGAGAGATATTTGTGCCGTAGTTTAGACGCTGATCTGAAGTGTGTGTTTGTGTCCCGCAGGCGGCTGTGGCTGAGGATGTGGATTACAACCAGACCCTGCACTTTCTCTCCCCGTGAGCAGTAAGGAAAAAACAGCCTTCGGAGTCTGCAAACCGGAATATACAGCTGCAAACCGGAATATACAGCTGCAACCGGAATATACAGCTGCAACCGGAATATACAGCTGTGAGTATCAGCAGCATGGGATAAGTGTAAAATGACCGTGGCGTGGCGGAAATGTCGTGTTCGCAGCATCAGCGCTAATACTGGATCACACTGGGGTTTAAGGTCTGCTGCAGGTTTTCACTGTGAGACACGATCAGAGAGAATTATGGGAGACGGGATCTTCCTTCTGCCCTGATGAAGCGACGCTGTGTATTTGGAATGTCTATGATCAGTGATTGTGTGTCTCTCTTGGAACTTTCATGAGTGTCTGTAGAAAGAACCCAAATATGTGAGTCTGCCGCACTCACTGTTTGACGATTTAAAATTCTGTGATTAACTACAGATGGATCATGTGTTGAGATGATGTAGAGCGGCAGTGAAGCGGCCGAGGCTGGTCTGATGTTTGTGCGAGGTGTACATTTGCCATAGACATAGAATGGGGAGTGTTTGTCGTCGCCACGGCCTCATTGACTTTTTGAAACAAGAGGCCAAATGTGCATTATGTGCCAAATTTCAAACATGTATAAAAAACTAAATATGATTATCCCCATGTAAAATGACCTTGACCCTGGAGTTGAACAATCGATTAAGATTTTGTGCAATTTAGACTTTGTTTGTGCAAATGGGAGAACATTTGCTATTGTCAAAAATGAAAAAAAAAGTCACATTTTGCTTTTCCGCTGCTCGAACAAAGTTTCACTGATAAAAATTCTGTGAAGTCATTTTGAAGGTACATGTGTTGAGATGATGTGGAGCAATTTTGAGGCGAATCTGTGAAACGGCCGAGGAGGAGTTGCTTTCCAACCGACATTTTGCAGTTAAATTCTTGGGCTTCCTGTTTGTCAGAGGGCGGGGCCATAATAATATTTGTTTCATGTTTTGACTTGAGGAACAGGTGTACCAAATTTTGTGGCTCTACAACAAACTTGACCTCAGACAACTCCCATGGCCTGAATACATTGGCTGTTGTAGGGGGCGCTGTTCAGGCTCAAAGGGCAGAAACAAGATTAACTATTTTAATTTAGAAAAAGTAGAAAACATGTGCATACAAGTTTATAACGGTCTAATGATGATACAGAGCGAGTAGGATCATCTGCAGGTAAAAGCCAGATCCTTCAAACCTCTGAAGCTAAGCAGGGCCTGGCCGGGTCAGTGCTGTGATGGGAGAACAGCAGGTGCCACAGTGGGGCGGCTGCGACTGTAAAGTGCCAAACTGTGGTTGTGTCCTTAGGCAAGACACTTCCCCCACATTAGAATGAGTCTGGTGTGTGTGTGAATGGTTGGTGGTGGGAGGAGCTTCTGTCAGTGTGCCCCAGGGCAGCTGTGGCTACAGTAGTTTATCACCACTGTGTTTGGAGAAAGAATAATGTCTGAAGTGAAAATATGACCAATGCAGTTTCATTATTATTTTCATTATAAAACATCAAACAACAAGATGAGTCTAATCCGATGGAGTCGTGATTAATCCTGGACACGGACCACAGTTTCTTCTGATTCATATTTTTGTCATTTTTCTTTTCTGAACGGGTCTTGGAGCGACTCGTGACTGCAAAGTTTTGACAATCTCAGTTTGAATTAACATAATAACACTCTCGATCGGAATCACATCTTTCATTTGTTGACATCGCACAAATCGGAAATTAATGAACTTATTTTTCAGATGGCCATAAAGGTCCGTTAATGGGGCTGTTTGTTCCGGGTAATTACCTCCCGAGAAATATCGCTGAGCTCGGTCAATAAGGAACAGCATTAACGGCATTTGTTTATGAACCCATTTCTAAGATTTGTGGAATTCTAATTTTCAGTTTTTTTTCCTTCTGTAAAACCATGTGACACCAAGTCTGGGTCTTACCATGTGTAACTTCTGGTCCATGATCATCTCCTACATGTACGTCTGGTCTTACCATGTGTAAACTCTGGTCCATGATCATCTCCTACATGTACGTCTGGTCTTACCATGTGTAAACTCTGGTCCATGATCATCTCCTACATGTACGTCTGGTCTTACCATGTGTAAACTCTGGTCCATGATCATCTCCTACATGTACGTCTGGTCTTACCATGTGTAAACTCTGGTCTTACCATGTGTAAACTCTGGTCTTACCATGTGTAAACTCTGGTCTTACCATGTGTAAACTCTGGTCTTACCATGTGTAAACTCTGGTCTTACCATGTGTAAACTCTGGTCCATGGTCATTTCCTACATGTACGTCTGGTCTTACCATGTGTAAACACCATGTGAAACTGAAGCCGGAGCAAGAGGAATATTTAGTAAATGTCAGAACCATATGACACTTTTCTAAACGATACGGTTTAGAAATTATTTATTTTAATCTAAATGATAATTATCATATAAACAGAATATAGTCTTTTTTTAAACCTAAACCACTTGAGTCGTGTTCCTTCATAATGTGCTCAGATAAACTTAAAGGAGACATAGAGAGTGTCTTCCTTCATAATGTGCTCAGATAAACTTAAAGGAGACATAGAGAGTGTCTTCCTTCATAATGTGCTCAGATAAACTTAAAGGAGACATAGAGAGTGTCTTCCTTCATAATGTGCTCAGATAAACTTAAAGGAGACATAGAGAGTGTCTTCCTTCATAATGTGCTCAGACAAACTTAAAGGAGACATAGAGAGTGTCTTCCTTCATAATGTGCTCAGATAAACTTAAAGGAGACATAGAGAGTGTCTTCCTTCATAATGTGCTCAGACAAACTTAAAGGAGACATAGAGAGTGTCTTCCTTCATATTATGCTCAGACAAACTTAAAGGAGACATAGAGAGTGTCTTCCTTCATAATATGCTCAGACAAACTTAAAGGAGACATAGAGAGTGTCTTCCTTCATAATATGCTCAGACAAACTTAAAGGAGACATAGAGAGTGTCTTCCTTCATAATATGCTCAGACAAACTTAAAGGAGACATAGAGAGTGTCTTCCTTCATAATGTGCTCAGATAAACTTAAAGGAGACATAGAGAGTGTCTTCCTTCATAATGTGCTCAGATAAACTTAAAGGAGACATAGAGAGTGACTTCCTTCATAATGTGCTCAGATAAACTTAAAGGAGACATAGAGAGTGACTGATTTGGGTTTTGTGGCCAGGGCCAATTTTTATTTATTTAATTTATTTGAAAGCCATGTCAAGGGGAGGCTGAAGCTAACGCTAATGTGCTCGTTAGCGATTATGGATTTTAGAGGTCGTTGCTTATTTCCTTAATGGATATTGATGAAAACAGCTTTTTGATGTCTCCACAATAATAAACTCTTTTTGTTTCATGCCTCAGAGCTTTTCCTCTTGTTTTCCACATTCGTCTGAATCAAAGGAAAAGAAAACATGGATGTGATGGATTTATATATTATATATATATATATATAATATAATATATATATATATTTTATATCTCTTTCAGCTGTGGTTTTTTCTGTGTATTTATTTATATGGAATAAATCTCTTGAATCATTCGTCTGCAGAAAGCAAACTTAGTTCTGGTTTTAAAACACTTTCTTCACTGTTAAAGTACAAACTCCACTCAGAAAGGCCCTGTTCCGACGAGATTCAAACCCAGGACCTTCTTGCTGAGAAGCGAGAGTGCTAACCACTCAGCCACTCATATAAAGGATCAGAACAGACTGTTACGAGCCTACACCATAAATACATGGTATACAGCCTTATACAGCCGTACATACAGCCGTATACAGCCATATATACAGCCGTATAGAGCAGTATACTATACAGACGTTCACAGCTGTATATACAGCCGCAGCAGCTGGTTTAAATGACACATGGGGATCTAATAGAGTCCACTTATGAAGTGATGAATGTGGCATTAGCCGTGGATCTGTGCTCACTGTTGACTGCCGGCGGGAGGCAAAGGTTAAACGCCGACCTCCGTGTGGTTATAACGGCGTGTGGATCATCATCACCGCCGTCCATCAGTCACAGCCCAGCGGCCATGTACCCGGCTGATTGACCATGAGAGGGAGGAGGGAGGAGGGAGGAGAGAGGAGAGAGGAGGGAGGAGAGAGGAGGGAGGAGGGAGGAGGGAGGAGAGAGGAGAGAGGAGGAGAGGAGGGAGGAGGGAGGAGAGAGGAGGGAGGAGGGAGGAGGGAGGAGAGAGGAGGGAGAGAGAGAGGAGAGAGGAGGGAGGAGGGAGGAGAGAGGAGAGAGGAGGGAGAGAGAGAGGAGGGGAGGAGAGAGAGGAGGGAGGAGAGAGAGGAGGGAGGAGGGAGAGAGAGAGAGAGAAGAGAGAAGAGAGGAGAGAGAAGAGAAAGGAGAGAGGAGGGAGAGAGAGAGAGAGAGAGGAGGGAGGAGAGAGGAGAGACAGGAGAGAGGAGAGAGGAGGGAGGAGGGAGAGAGAGAGGAGGGAGGAGAGAGGAGAGAGGAGGGAGGAGGGAGGAGAGAGGAGGGTGAGAGAGAGGAGGGAGAGAGAGAGAGAGAGAAGAGAGAAGAGAGGAGAGAGGAGAGAGGAGGAGAGAGAGAAGAGAGAAGAGAGGAGAGAGGAGAGAGGAGGGAGGAGGGAGGAGAGAGGAGGGTGAGAGAGAGGAGGGAGAGAGAGAGAGAGAGAGAAGAGAGAAGAGAGGAGAGAGGAAGGAGGAGAGAGGAGAGAGGAGGGTGAGAGAGAGGAGGGAGAGAGAGAGAGAGAAGAGAGGAGAGAGGAGGGAGGAGAGAGGAGAGAGGAGAGAGGAGAGAGGAGGGAGGAGAGAGGAGAGAGGAGGGAGGAGGGAGGAGAGAGGAGGGTGAGAGAGAGGAGGGAGAGAGAGAGAGAGAGAGAGAATAGAGAAGAGAGGAGAGAGGAGAGAGGAGAGAGGAGCGAGAGAGAAGAGAGAAGAGAGGAGAGAGGAGAGAGGAGAGAGGAGGGAGGAGTGAGGAGAGAGGAGAGAGGAGGGAGGAGAGAGCAGAGAGGAGAGAGGAGGGTGAGAGAGAGGAGGGAGAGAGAGAGAGAGAGAGAGAGAGAGAGAGAGAAGAGAGAGAGAGAAGAGAGAGAGAGGAGAGAGGAGAGAGGAGGAGGAGTGAGGAGAGAGAGAGAGAGGAGGAGGAGAGAGGAGAGAGGAGGGAGGAGAGAGGAGAGAGGAGTGAGGAGAGAGG